GGGGGGGGTAGGGGGAGTGGAGAAGGGAAGGGGAGAGGGAGAGAGAAAGAGAGAAGTGAGGCTCACGGCAGCTTCAGTTTTCCCGAGTTAGAAAAAAAGAACAGGTCCAGGTAAGAGGGACCAGCTGACAAGCTCACTATCTGGAAATGTTCATGGAGAGAGAATAGTACTAAGGGTTAGAGGCTTCCTCGCTCTCCAATAACTGTCCCGTGTTGGACAAACTCCAGAAGCATCTCCTTTGGGAAAATACTAAATAAATATCCTGGTAGAGCTTTCGTGTAGGAGTGAGGCAGAGAGCCTTCCATTCGTTTTTCTTGAAGCATTTAACAATTCGTTGTTTTTCTTTGGAGATTAAAAAAACACACCACACTCCATTGGCTGCTTATTTAAAGAGAAAAGATACCTTTATTATTTTCTTTCTATAGATAACGTCTTCCTACAATACTGGGTTTGCCTTGGATCCATTCACCAACAGGCCGGCCACATCCTGAATCCCTTTCCCATCTCCCAGAGCGTCCTCCGCGGCACACTAACCCTGTGAGCTCCGCTCTCACGCAGTGGCAGCCGGGTCCACAGCCTCCGGGAAAGTCTGCCCATGACTCCTCACCATGGGGATTCATAATCCAGTTTGCATGCATCCTGTTTTCTGGTCTAGTCTTAGGAGGTATTTCACAAGCTCACTCAGTGTTGGGCCCTCCCCTTTAAAAACATTACTCACCAGGAGAGACGGGATGTTATAAAATGCTATAGGATTATACACCCATTTTTAACTGATAGAGATATTTGGAGTCACTCAAATGAGCTCAAGAGCTTTTCTCAGTCTCTTCTGTCTCTTCTGTCACCACTGACGAGCAGTGGCCTGAAGAAGTATATGCGTAGTTTGGAAAAGCTGGGTCGATGGAAGGTAGAGGGAGAAGGGTACTGTCTAGGGGTCGGGAACCAGAGAGGTGCATTTTGCTTACATTTATTTAAGGCCTCTTGCCCTCTAGTGGCGAAGTTTCTTCCAGCCCTCGGGCCCATAATCTTGCAATAATTTAAACGGCCCTGGTGGCAGCAATCACACCCAACGTTACTAAGCATTGCGGCTGGGACTGTGCTAAGTGCTTCATAGGTGCTGGTGCTTTCATTCTCGAGACAAATCTATAAGGTAGGTTATATCGTTGTCCCCATTTTACTGATGGAGGAAACTGAGGCCCAGAGAGCTTAAACCATTTGCCCGAGATGACCCAGCTAGTAACTAACTGGTGGAGCCAGGCTACAGACTCAGGCGGGCCAGGGCCAGAGTCTGCAGTCCTATCCTCCCTGCAAGTCCGACGGCATTCATGAGCTGCAAGTCCACGCCTTTGGCAGAAAGGGCCAATCGATCTCAACCCTCATTCCTGCTGCTTCTGGAAGGGGCCTCCGTCTCCTACTCAGCCCAGCCCTCTGGGCAGCCAGCCCCAGCCAGTCAGTGCAGCTGGCTGGAATGAGAAAGGAAATCTGATTATAATTGCCCTCCCTGTGCCAGGGCGCTCATTCGAACAGGCTCAGAGCTCAGGGAGTCCAGTTAGGAGAGGTGGCACCACCCCGTGCAGCTGTGCTAATAAGGCTCTCTGCCATCGAGGGAACGGTGGCCTCCAGATCCATCCAGTGTCCCCATTAGCAAAGTCCATCTGTGAGTGGAAAAGCACAGCCAGCGGGTACAACTAACTATGCCACCGTGAATGCTTCCTCCCGAGTGTTCAAACAGGACACCTGCTCTCTGGCATGACCATCCCCACAGGAAGCTGCCTCAGGCACACATCCCTGATGTCACCTTGCAACCTACCGCCCCACCCTGGCCACTCCTCTCTGCGTGTCCTGCCAGCACCTGTCTGCAGGAGGAGAGGGCCGTGCGGTGTCCCGGGTCTGCGGCCCCCCCTCTGTCCCCTGCCCCGTCCCCTCCACCCCGGGCACAGCTGGGGCTGGAGTGAGGGGAGAGGGAGGGAACAGTCTTCACGCCCAGGCCGCCGGCCCTGCGCTCCAGCACCACATCCCGCTTCCCCGTCGGCCTCCTTTGAGCTGCTGCCGTTTCTGATTAAGTGTTCCACTGGCTGCCAAATATTAGGTTCTCGTTCCTCCCCTAGTTTTAGCTTCTTGGCTGGGAGACAGCTTCTTCCTTCCTGGCTATCTCTGCCCTCGGTTTCCAAGCTGTCCCCGGACCCAGGACTGGCCTCCCCTCCCTAGACGTCCCTCTCTGTCTCCTGTAGGGGCCTCCCAGCTGCCTTTTGTCTTTTCAGGCTTGAGAGCCCCCCTCACACTCCTCCTGGCACCCTCGCCCTCTCTGATGACTTGAACTACCACCAGTACATGAGAGAGTCATAGCGTCACGTGATATTGTATGTTACGTGATTGTGTGTCCCCAGTCCCCAGGGACACAGTCTGTTCCAAGTATTCCCTGGCTACACACAGATGTCCCATTAGCCCCGATTCCCTCAATTACTCTTCCAAAGTCTTGCTTCTCTAGCAGGGGGATCAACCAGCCTAGTTTGCCTGGAAGTTGGCGGGGGTGGCAGGTGTGTCCCTGGGAAGTCCTGGGCTGCATGGGACACCCTGGTCACCTTTCCCACAGGTTCCCTCACAGTCCTGCTCTCCACCCCGGGGCCAATCGGTGACACTGTGATGACGCCGTAATGAACCCTTTGCTGGCAATGCCGGCGCCCAGTGGGAGCACAGAACCGTGGATCCGGGATGTGTTGCTGAAGTAAGAAATGCCAGGCTAGGAGAGCGTTGCTTGGGGGCAGCTAATTCTTTTGCAAGCCTGAAATGTCACAGGGAACTCCATCGGCCACCCAATAAGGGTTCTATCCGGTACCAAGGTCTGGTTAAGCTGGTGTTCAGAGCTCTGGTGTTAATCCCTGCCCAGCCCACTTCTGGGTGCCGAGTGCAGGTGGGTAAGACGGACAGATGGACGGGACTAGCCTCCTGTGTGGTTGCTACCGTATCAGCCTCCACGGAAGGGGTGGCAGACCACACGTCTCCGCTCCCTCCAGGGTCTGCCAGAGCCACCAGGGCAGTCACGTGGCACCAGCGGACCCTGTGGAGAATCGGCATCAGAACCGAGGCCTCAGGCGGCGGCAGCAATGCTCCCACCCATTCCGGAGCCATCGCCCAGGCAACGGTGGCCCTGGCGAGGGCTCTCGCAGGAACTGGGGCAGGGACATACTGTGTGCACGGGCACTTTCCCCAATAGCTGCCCCTTGTGCGGCCAAGCTGTGCCCGAATCTTTGCTGGCATATAATTTCTGCAGCTTTCCAGGGGCCAGAAACCCATCTGCGTGACATTCTTTTTCTGCCCTTGGAAATGAGGAACAGTGTGTGCAGTCCCCACCTAACCCGTGCATGTTGCCTTGTTGCTACGTGGCCAGAGGGCTGCTGTAATGATCCCAGCCCACAGGTGGCTGCAAAGCTGTCACTGCAGGGGTGCCCTTGTGGACGTGCAAGTCAGGGACCTCCGAGATGCATTAGCCCATGTCCTCCCTAAGACACTCACTCCCCCGTCAGCTCGTTTCCTCCTGGAAACAAGCAAGTCAGCAGTCAGAGAAAGGACTCCTCCTCCACCAGCGGCATCTGCGCCCTCCAAAGCTGATGTCTGCCAAACCCTTCTTTTGCTTGGATTAAATGCCTCGGCAGCCTTTAGCTCCCAAGAGCACTCTCTAGCTTTGCTCGGACTGCGTGGAATATAAATGGCTGTTGAATTAGATGCTGTTGCTGCAGCAGCAGCCCACAGGCAGGTCACATGGGGCTTTCCATCCAAGGTGCCTCGGGGGATCACTGGGACGAGGCAGGAGTGGTGGCAGCCTCTGGAGAACACACTGCAAGGGATGGGGCCTCGAGTCAGGACAGACCATCCATCATTCTGCAAACTCTGCCAACGCTCTAGGCTGAGACGCTGCATGAGTGTCTTCTCACCCCCGGGAAAGTGGCATTTGTGTTTCCAAGGCTGTGTCTACACGCTGCGTGCCTGTCCTGCGTCTGGACAGGATTAGGCCATAGTGACAACATCCCAACTCAAGCACCGAAGAGACTGGTCCATCCGTACAGGCTGGCATTGTTTCTAAAGGAAACGCCTCCCAGTTCCTATCAGAGGTCTTACCCCCCGTTTTTTACATATCTACAGGGTGGCCACACAGGTGTCACGGACTGAATTGTGTCCTTGCAAGATTCACTGTGAAGCCCTAACCCCCAGTGCCTCGGCAGTGACTGTACCATTAAAGAGGTAATTAAGTTAAAATGAGGCCATTATGCTGG